GGGAGAGAGACGAAGTAAACAAACAAGCAGGAAAATGAAACTTATCGTCCTCATTTTTTTTACCGACCTCAAAAAAAATTACAGGTCTGTGACAGCCAGAAATCTTGCTTGTTTGTAGGTGACCAAATACTTATTTTCCACCATTATTTGCAAAAAAATTCTTTAAAAGTCAGACAAAATGATTTTCTCAAATTTTTTTTCACATTTTGTCTCTCATAGTTGAGGTCTATCTATGTTGTCAATTACAGGCCTCTCTCATCTTTTTAAGTGGGAGAACTTGCACAATTGGTGACTGACTAAATATTTATTTTCCCCACTGTATTTACGTCTTTGAATTAACTTGTAAATAAAATGTTTCTGCACCGCTAGGAAAAGCTAACTGGAGCAGACTGGTCTGGAAACCGGAGGGGGGCTCTTGAAGTTCCTTAAAGCAGGGGTTCTCAAGCCCTTAGGGTCTTGGGACCGTTTATAGGTGCAAAAAAAAAAAAAAAAAAAAAAAATCCAGGGACCCCCTCATAAACCCCATACTGTTTTAAAAGATAATTTATTTTCATTTCAACCCCTAAATACCATGAATATATACTGTATATATTTATAAAGTTTATTATGTTTGTTTAAGAAGTTCTTTGTTCTCCATGCACTTTTAAAAATAAAATCCAAATTAACAGTTTAGCGAAATTTTTTGAGGACCCCAAGATACCTCTCACAGACCACTGGGGGTCTTGGGACCCCAGTTTGAGAACCTCTGCCTTAAAGGAACAGTATCAAATCCAGCTGCTTGGAGACGCACTTCAGAAAAGAGGTGAAAGAGGGGCTGGTAAAGTTAGAATGAGGACAAATTCCAACCAATTAATTACATTTTCCTTGATATTTTTTGCTAATTTCATTGTAAAGGTTGCAGAGAGCCAAAACCTTTGGCAGGTAAGCAGATTTTGTCAAGAGGTTGTCCCCTGGAATATCCTTATATCTATATCTTATATCTGTTCATGAAGATCAGCTAATATTACAGAATGAGGTTCACTTATCTTCTAGTATTTCTAATGTAAAAAAAACATTTAGCTGCTAACTGAGTTGCTGCTGACAGCTTTATTCATTTTGATCAAAGGAACTGCTTGTTAGTCATACATGTAAACCAAAAACAAGTGCTTTGCTCCTTTTTGAGTGTGTGTTTCTGTGCAGCTGTCCAGTGGAAACCCTATGTATGAAAGTTTCTACAGACAGGTGAGAAGGCAGTAACTACTATTATTATGAGTTATTTTATTTCTGTATGAGACAATATGAGTAAGAGCACTGTATCTACTTTTAAGGTGGATCCTGGAAATACAGGGAGAGTCGGACCAACAGAGGCTGCCCTGTTCCTGAAGAAGTCTGGACTACCTGACGTGACACTGGGAAAGGTAGGGTGGGGTCAGAGAGTCCTACACTGGACACAGTCCTGCTTCATTGGAGCAGGTTCACCTCTCTGTATTCAAACCTTACATGAGTCACACCTGCATGAAGCTGCCACTGGCTGGTCATTTTCAAGATTTGACCAAAAGTAGCTTCAACACTGTTTTCTCATCACAAGATGATTTTAGGTCATTTGTGTCTGTAATGATAAAATGTTTGTGTTTTGTGCTTCAGATCTGGGATTTGGCTGATCCTGATGGAAAAGGCTTTCTGGATAAACAAGTAGGAAAGGAAATTATATATATTCTTCTCAAGCACTTTAAAACAAACAAGGACTTTGTTATGGTGCTGTCCTCCAGTCATCAGCTGACATGTTGATCATTAGCTTGTAAAAGCTAGATAAAGCTTACCTGTCTTTTATATGGTAAAAATTGCTCTGACAGATATTTTGTGTCTTTGATTATATTCCCTGTAGTACTTGAGAGGCTGAAGCAAAGTGTTGTTCTCTGCAGGGTTTTTATGTTGCTCTGCGTTTGGTGGCCTGTGCTCAGAGTGGTCATGAAGTCAGCGTGTCCAACCTCAACCTCACTGTCCCTCCTCCAAAGTTTGTGAGTGTGAAATTGTCTTTAAAGCTTTTGTTTCTTTCTTACTTCAGTCATGGTAACAAATTCAACAGATTTGTTTTTGTTTTTCATTCTAAGGTTTTACACAACAGCACAGAATAAACAATCTGCTCATTAAAGGTCTTTAATTCAGTAAATCTGGCCTCCGTTCCACATGTGGGCTGTGGTGGTCGACATAAAGAAATAAAAAAAAATTGCCAAATTTTCATTTCATTTGTAGAAGGAGGGAGCAGCCAAAATAAAAAGATGTGCCTCTAATTAACTCAGATGTTGTCAGCCAACCAATCAAGGTTTCCAAAGTCATGACATCATCATCTGGGGTCTCATTTATAAAGGATTGCKTGGAAACCATACTAAAAGTGAACGTACGGACAAAAGGCGGAAATGGCGTACGCCAAAAAAAATTCAGATTTATAAAACCATACGTACGCACGTTTCTGCGCATCTTTCATTTATAAATCACAGCCGCACGTCAGAGTTTGCGCACGAGGTCCCGCCTCAGGTTCTACCCTCTACACGCCCACATTCAACCATAAACAGTCAATGTAAAGTACCTCATGAATGTTAAGATATATTTAAATCAGTCAGCTGATCAATGCCAACAAAAGTGATTGGTTCAGACACGCTCCATCGTGCATCTGGAGGATGACAGGTGCTGACTGACAGCTGCTCACGTGAACAGAATGTCTGTAATTGACACAGATTTTCCCTCATTTTGCTTTGGAGTAATCTAACGATTTTTATAAAAAACAAAAATAAAAAACCTCAGCTTCAATTCAATCTCCCATCAGAGCCTGCAGGACGATAAAAACAATAAATTAAATTAAATAAGTCAGGTAAAATTAGAAATAAGTCCCCCGCTCTTCTCGTCCTCTCCCCCTCCTGCCTGCTCTGTTACCCGCGGCAGACCCCCGCCCCGCGCGCGCATGCATGCACACACACACGCTCGAACGCACGCATCCCCCGCGCGCGCGCGTGACAAACACGGACTGGATACACGCGCTGCGCGTGTATCCAAACCTTTTGCTGTCCTGCTTTTCTTATCGGGGAGGGGTCTGTATGGGTCGGGGTCGTCTGAGGAGGAAGCAGATGAATGGAGTTGCGCACGGGAACTTTTATTTAAGTCTGATTCTGAAGGTAAATTAAATATCCGACGGTGATCATTACACAGTGTGGCTCTAATTCCTCACTTCACCATCTGTGTCGCAGTTTCACGTCTCCAAAATGAGCGTACGCATGGGTCAGAACTGGCGTGAGGCACCGCACATTTTCACGTCAAGTTTGGATTTTATAAATCACAACCTTRGCGTAAAAAGTGGCGTACGCAAGTTTCTGGGCTCAAATTGTGCGTACGCAAGTTTTATAAATCCGACCCCTGGGCTTTCCCAAATTGCTTAAAGAGTAAACTTGGTGTATGTTAGATAAAGTAAAAAAAATAAGTTCTGTAAAATTAGATAAAGTAAAAAAAATAAGTTCTGTAAAACCTCTCTCTCAGTATTCATTTAAATAATTTTGGAAATCTGAACTGACCAAAAACAGGAAGTCTCTTAGCTGGATTTAATGTGATTTAAAAATTATTTGTTTATAATGTATGTAAACATCTGATTTTAACTATAGCCCTATTCTGACGGGATTAGTTTTACCTAGGGACCCCATGTAATAAATAAATTACCCCCCGATGTCTGTGTTTTACGTGGCGCATTCGCACGGGATAACCAAAGCCTGAGATTTTCCTGAAATTTACAGACATCTCCCGAATGTGACATTGAAGCCTGGTTAGTTGTTGTCTGTTGAACATGGCGTTGAACGGACGTTTAAAAAAAAAACATAAACATCAAGTTCTCCACTTTTTCCGCTGTCCTTTCCTCCTGCTTACAACAGGCACTGTCATCTACACGGCCGACAAACCCCCACCCCATCCCCACGCGCGGGTACGAGTGGTACGGATTTTTAGAAAAATTATAGATTTTTAAGGCTCATTAGATAAACGTCCAAAGGGGTTGACATATGAACACCTTCACAGCTGGCGAGAGTGCGCTCGCCAGCTACCCAAAGCATGTGCCTGCTGCGCTACGGCCAGAGCTCAACATTCAACATCAGCCAGAAGACTACAAACAGGAAAAAAAAATTCTTACCGTACAGTGAGCCACCATTTGCATCTGATTTTGCTCCCACTCTTCAGACTTTTTTTTTTTTAATTTTTTGTTAAATTTTTTATTTTTTTAATGGCGCACGTAACGTGTCGGGTTTTTCCGGCCCGGGACCGAAAAGGTTTTCAGTGCACTCCAATCCAGCCTCCGTTCTTCACCAACAGTAAATAAAAATGCACCAAGAAAACCAAAACCGCTTAATTACATATGGGATTCAGTCCATTCCTGTCCAAATCACAGAGATGTCTATTCACATTGGATTAATATTATCACAGGACCTCAGAGTTCAGCGAATTATGGTAGGTAATTTGCGGGGGAATTTTTACTTTACAAATTACTGACATGGCCGATTCTCATGGGATTAACAACACAGACGATCTCTGTAATTATTACAAATAGCATGGGGTCCCTAGGTAAAACTAATCCCGTCAGAATAGGGCTTATGTCTGTAATTGTGACTGATTATTTACTGCCTATAAAATGACTGCTCCGAAACAAGATTAAAATTACAAAGCATGTTTCATAAAAATTGATGTTTAATTAACAAAATTCAACAAAAAAACTGCCAGACCTGTTTCTTTTTCAGCAGTTTCTGCTTTTAACTGTGTGTGAACATATTCCCCAAAAAAGGTTAAAAAACAAAACAAAACAAAACAAAAAAAAACAACTGGACTTCTATTCTGACACTGAAGACATTTTACTTCTCATCCAGGAAGCTTTCTTAATTAAGGCTCTATGTGAATAAATTGCATTAAAATGTCCTGAATGTTCATGTAGCACTGCTTTGAGAGTAAATATTTGATTTCAGATTGACACCAGCAGTCCATTATTGAGCACCACAACCTCTGCCTCTGGAGAACCCCACTGGGCTGTTAAGGTACGTTCAATTACAGACACACACACACACACACACACACACACACACACACACACACACACACACACACACACACACAGTAACATAGTGGTGATCAATCCAGGTTCTCAGAGACCACTAATCTTCATGTTTTAGTTGTTTCCCTGTTCTTCAAAATGTCTTTCAAATTCTACAGAAGCCTGTTATCAGTGTCTCACTTGGCTGTGACTATTGGGGACTAGTTGGTGAGCATTTTAGTTAGTCACAAAAATGTCTGGAATTGTTTGGGGTAGGGATGGTTGTGATCAATCAGCATTGCAGGATAAAGTATCTGATCTCAAAGGGTGCTTCAGACATGTTAATAGGGGTGCACCGATTGCAGTTTTCAGGTGGATCACAGATTTTTGACCTGCAGATGCAGATTTTTGTAAAATGACTGACACTGTCGGGTGTTATAATGTCACAATACACCTTAAATATTCTAGTCTTATTTTATTGAAAAACATTGAAAAATACCTTTGAAACAATACAAACTTGTTTTAACTGGACATTAAGTAGTGCTCACAGCAGAGCAACAGGGGACAGTGGCTGATTTTCAGACCTTCGTGGAGGTAGATGAGAAGCTGATCTTTTCCACCGATCTCATCCAAATATCAACTGATTCTCCCAAAATTAAGGAAATCTGTGCTGATAAATTGGCCGGCTGATTTATTGGTGCACCCCTACTTGATAATATTGAGATTTATGGCAAATGGTAGGGGTTTCTGCAGTATTCATTCAGGACTTGATCAAATCAGAATTAAAACACCAACTTGACCTGAAAGACAACAATGACTTGAGGATAGAGGGTTATCACCACAACCAGACTCACTCAGCTATGACTGTTTGAGACTCGAAATTGTGTTTGCAACCAGCAAGTTGTGGAGCCAGTTTTGGAAAATCACGGCCTGTTTTTGTTATGGTTTGTGCGTTAAAACCCAGGAAGCACACTAAATCAGGAATAAAACAAAATGATTTATTTACAAAAAAAAAGAGATTGACAAAAAGTTTAAAAAAAGTACTTACAAAATCCAAAAACACAAACAGAAAAAGGAGGACAACCATTCCTGACATGGAAAGCACAGTGAACTGACTGGACACAGAATATAAAAGCGAATAAACAGGTAGACAATGGGAAACACCTGGGGAGGACACATGAGGATCAGGTGTGCAGGGGAGGAGCTGGGGAAGAACACACAGTGGGAAACAGAGAAAACTCTAGAAATAAACAAATCAAAGGAAGAAAACAAACACTTCCTCACAACTGTTTGTGTGCACAGCTTAGGACCACTGTGTTCTAGTTCCTGCACTTTGTTTTGTTGTCTACCTCTTCCCGCATCGTACCCCACCTCGGCCTGTTTCATACCCACCATGGCAGCTGCCAACTAGGGTTAGGCAATATTTAACCATGTACAAATCTTTGCCTATCTTACGACAACCACACATATTTATTATAAATAATGAGACAGTGCACGTCTTTGACATTTGCAAATTTGCTGCCAAGAAACCACAACTGTTTTTGACAGACTGCATATTAACCAGTGCATTTAGGGATTAGAAGCCAGCACAGCCATGAAGAGCCCCCAGTGTCTCTGCTCTGTCTCCTTCCATGAGTTCTTCACCATTTAACGATCTTTATAAGTTTTGTTGGAACAGTCATAATCGTAGCAATCATAAGCATACCCCTGAGGGACAAAGTTCTGCCCAGACCTTGTGTGAAGAGCGAGCTCGCTGGGCACCTAGCAGAAAAAAAAATGATCTGATTTTTGTTGGGCAGCTACATCGGCAAGAGCAACTTTCTGCCCTTCTTGCAGAGTATGAATCCAGCTTTAGTGTTTGAGAGAACATTTGATCCACAAAGCTTTTAAACATTTATAATTTAAGCAACAACACTGTGAGTCTCTGAAACAAGTGTGAGGAAATGGAGAACCACCACAGTTGTCACAAGATATTTTAGACTTCCTTGAGAATTTTGGTCAACAACTAGTCTCCAACAGATCCAGCCTGGTTAGGTTCTGGTTTTAATGAAACGTATGGTTTTTCAGTTACTTTAAAGAATTGTAAAGACTTCATCTTTTAGGTTCAGTTCATGAAGAACTCAGCTCAAATAAACTGCTCTGAATGTTAAAAAGTTAATATGCATTTGAAATTGGTACTGGTAATATGTGCTTTATTGAAATGCTCTTTAATTTAAATCTTGTGTCTTTATCTTTGCAGCCTGAGGAGAAAAATAAATTTGATGGGATTTTTGAAAGTCTGATTCCAGTAAATGGTCTGCTGTCGGGAGAGAAGGTCCGACCAGTTCTCATCAACTCCAAGCTGCCTCTGGACATCCTCGGGAAGGTATTTTTATTCACTTTAGGCTTCTTGTTCACATGGACACAGTTTTTAAAAAATATAAATGCCTATTTGTAATTAACTCAGTCAAAGTGTGAAACCACCAAAACATTTAAGTTTTCTCTAGCATAGAGGCTGTGGTTTGTTTGTGTTGTGGACAAAGTATCCAGAGGTTCAGAGCTACAATGAGGGGAGACAACATCACTGTTAAAGACTTTACTGTAAAACTCTAAATGTGTCATGTTTAACCAAAAAGAAAAGCAACATAAATTTGAAGCTGCTATTGACATATCAAAGAGAACATGCTATTTATTAAGACACTTCCTGTTTGTTTTCTATTGTAAGGTTTGGGACCTGAGTGACATCGACAAAGATGGACATCTGGACAGAGATGAATTTGCCGTGGTAAGTTTTGCCCTTTTTTTTTTTTTCTTATTTTGAGTATATTAGTATAGTTTTACTACAGTTTTGTGTCAGAAACTGTAGTTTTTTTCAGTTTGTCTCACCATAAATTTAAATTAGAGAAAATAGCATTTTTTTCAACAAACCAGTGTAGAATGACGTTGCTGAAATTTGATCTCTTCAGTTCTTAAAGCTAAAATTAACAAAGAAACTGAAACCAGGAAAAACATGTTTAAAAACTGAAATTAGCAACATAAAAGGTTTTTTTTCAAGGTATGACCAAAACGGCTACAACGCCATCGTTTCTCAACATAAAATCTTAGTTTAAAACTCTGTCAATTCATTTCAAGGAGGAAAGTATTTGTAAAAAAAATGTGACAATTCTAAAAGCTACGAACGTAAAAAGTCACGTCTCACTATTCTTGTTCGTAGGTTTGATAAACAGTATAAATGTCTGAAAAAGCAGAAAGATTGCAAAAAGCCCTATGGAAAAGTATAAACAGGACAGCAAAGTCAGCTGTCGCTTTAATGATAACAGGAGTTTTGTTTGCATTCAGACAAAGTGTTGTCAGCTTTAAGGTGGTTTTAGAAAAGCAGTATTTGTTTCCTGCAGGCCATGCACCTGGTGTACCGGGCCTTGGAGAAGGAACCAGTTCCTGCCCTCCTCCCCTCTTCTCTCATCCCCCCATCTAAGCGGAAGAAGAGTCTCTGCTCAGTAACGGGCACGGTTCCTGGACTACCAGCCAGCCCCCCACCACCCAAAGACTCGCTGCGCTCCACGCCGTCTCACGGCAGCATGACGTCACTCAACAGCACCGGCAGCTTATCGCCCAAACACACACTGAAGTCAGGACAGGTAACACACACACACACACACTCAGCTGTTGTGTAAACACACCACAGATTATTGAGTATTTGAACAGAACACTTACTGTAACATTTCTGAACATTTTAAATGTCTGCTTTTTAAAGACTATTGTTTTCTGTTAGTCGAAGGCTGTATTCACACTGCAGGTCGCATTTAAAATGTGAGAAAGTCCGCACAAAAAAAATGGATTCTTGCCAAAACAAAAAAAGGATGGAGCGTTACGACCTGCAGTGTGAACGTGGCCATAAATAGCAGATAAAACTCAAACAAGGCTTTATGTGTGTCTCTTTGATAGACCAAGTTACAAAAATCCACAATTAAACTTTTCATTTTCATTGAACTTTATGAAACATTTGTTTCAGTTGGATTTGTGTTTTTAGACCTATCGGTTCTGAAACCAGGAGATCTCAGAACAAACATGAATCTCTGTGTTTTAGCATTCATTGAACTGGGTGGTCCCGGTGTCAGAACGTGGGCGGTACGATGACATCTTCTTAAAGACCGACGCTGACCTTGACGGATTTGTTAGTGGACAGGAAGTGAAAGATATCTTCATGCAGTCTGGACTTTCTCAGAATATTCTTGCACACATATGGTAAGAACATGTTTCAGTCTGGATGAATGATACCACCTAAAACTAAAATATTTCACAATAACCAGGTAATAATTAGCTTCACCTATAAAAGCTTGTCAAATTGTTTTTTTTTTTAATTATTATTATTTTTGCTTAAATGGAGTTTGAATGATGAGTGACTGCTGGAATTTGCTAAAGAGGCTGATCCTGAATTGTTAAATCTAAAAAATAAATAAATAAACAGAACAGTAGCTAAAAGCCAAGAGTAGCTAAAAGTTCGCTGTTTAGCAAAGCACTACAAAATGCAAAATGGAGCAACCGGTCAGCTAAAAATAGCTAAATGTAAGCTAAAAGTTAAATGTAGCAAAAGGTTGTCTATAAGGTGAAGGAAGACAAAGGCTAGCTAAATTAGTCTAAATATTTTCACTCAAGGGAATAATCAAGTATTTTTACTTTTATTAATCCAAAGTAGATAAATGTTAGGTAAAAACTATGCTGAAGCAGATTTCAAATGAACAATTATTTAAAAAATTGCAAATATCTCAAAGTATTTTAGGGGGTAACATGTTTGTAAAATAATTAATATTTTGAAAAATATAAAAGTTATAAAAATCAACAGTCATAGCACCCATGCACTGAATGAGTTGAACATTTACATATTTAAATGGTTAAAATGGTACAAAGAATATGGTTGTAGTGAAACTGAAAAACATGTATTGGTGTGTATACCAGTTGTGTTAATGCAGAGTCAGCATTCACACAGTTTGTTATATCTGACAAATGAAAGATCTGGAGTGTATTTAATTTGTTTTAGTTGGTAAAATGTTAATTTGTTTACATGAGGGGTGCAACTTAAACAATGTACTGCATCTAACCACTAGGGGGAGTTTCTGCTCCAGCTGCCAGTCCTATCTCTAGTTGTTATAAGATATACTGTTTATATCTGTATAAATAATTAGATTTTTAAGATATATATATATTTGGGTGTTACCAGAGATGATGAGGGTTAATTTGTCTGAAGCATGCTCGGTGACAGTGAGTCCACCTGGATGTGTTCTTTTACCCTGCAGGGCTTTGGCAGACACCAGGCAGATAGGCAAACTGAGCAGGGAGCAGTTTGCTCTCGCCATGCATCTCATCCAGCAGAAAGTAAGCAAAGGCATCGATCCTCCGCAGGCACTGACGGCAGACATGATCCCCCCCTCTGACAGAGGAACTCCAGTACCAGTAGGTCTCTCTCACCCAACAGTCAATGTTTATTCAGTCATATATTACCATGTGTTTTAGATGAAGAGCTACATAGCTTCATATGACTTTATTATTATAAACATTATTATATTATTTTAATTATTACTTTCTTCATACAAATTGTATCTTGTAGTTAACATGTAGCAGAGTTAGATACCTGTGCTTTACATTTATACTTGAGTGTAAATTAGAATGGCATTGAACATTTTTTTTTATTGAAGTATTTTAATTCAAAACTCATAACTCTGGATTCATTAGAGACACAGTGAAATTTTTCAGCTATTTATTTCTGTTAATTTTGATTAATATGGCTTACAGCTAATGAAAACTCAAAATTCTTTCTCTCATTAAATTAGAATATTACATAAGCCCAGTCATGCACTGTGGCTGTGGCACTTACTTTTAAATTGTTGCACAGCACTTTGGTTAAAACTTGTTTGAAGATGTGCTTTATAAATTGACTCGACTTCATGTTTGTAATAAAAAAAAATTTCTATTTTGCCTCAGACTATCTCAGGATTCATGACTCCAGTTGGATCAGAGATGGCAGCTCTGTCAGAAATTAGAAGGGTGATTATGCTTTCTTTATTTTTATTCTCTGCTCCTGTCTTTTTTGAATATTTGTCTTCTGTTCATTCATTATTATATATCACTTAATTGAAAATCTCATTTGACTTTGAAGCACCTTCGCAGCTTCGTACCTTTGTTGTATGTGGGGCCACAGCAGCACCTGATGCTTATTAGAAAATAACTATTTGTCTCAGCTACAGTCACCAAAAGTCTTCAACAACCCAAGAAAAAGACAGCAGATTGTTGTGATGGTTGTTAGGGGGGTCTGAAAACCTGCAAAATATGGTAACATAGTCACAAAGTTGGCAGCACTGGACTGGAACAAAATGCATTCTGATTGGTTAAGACAATGCTAATCTTCTTTTTGCTTTGACCTGTCCTGTGTTTCCTGAAAGGGTCAACATTTATTATGTGAGACAATAGTCTCACATAATAAATGTAAACGCTAGGACAAAGCCATTTACACTGTTGCCACAGTCTCTGCTCCTAATCTGGATGTAACAGAACTTTCACTGACGTGCAGGTTATGGAATTTAATAGGGAGGACGGGTGGAAGAAGAATTGTATTGTTCTAACAACGTTCAGTATCTGTTCCTGGTAATTAGTGTGTGATGATGCACACATTCATTCACTCACTCACACTCACACACACACACACACATGTTGGTAATTAAGCCACTGTGCTTCTCCTTTTCTTTATCGCTCCTATCCTATCTTTACCACTGTCTCTGTTTCTCAGCCCAGTCTGCCACGGCTCATTTCATTATCTAGTTTTTACTTCACCAAGCTGCCTTCCACCTTTCTTGTCCTATTCTGTCTCTCTGCAGGACAGCTCTAGTTCCATGGGTTCTGGAGAGTTCACTGGCATAAAGGAGCTGGATGATATCAGCCAGGAGATCGCCCAGTTACAGAGGTAACAACAGGAGAACGCTTAACTTTTTAATAGTTATGTCGGGTCATCGTGATGAAGTAATAGTGTATGGTCTTGGCGATCACCTGGTTGCAAGAATAAACAACAACAACAAACCAAGGGAAGATCGATGGTGACACAGCAACTTTCTATAAAAGATCTATTAACCTTTAAATAAAAGATGCTAAACTGAGTTAATTTGTTGAGTTTTGAAAATAATATGAGGGAGACGTCCATCACACATTTTATATGAGTTCTGCTTCTTGCCTCTTTTTGTTCTGTAATGTTTACATCACAGCCTGTCAGGACCTGTTTTTTAATTTACTGTTTTATGATTTTGTTGCTATGTTTATTTTGTTTCCATGCTTTGACATCTCTTATGTTTAGTTTTGTTCCTGTATGTTTCTCTGTGCCATCAACTTCTTATTCTTCAGTCTGGTCTCTCATCTCACTTGTTCCCTACTTTTCATTAGTCCCAGCTGCAGCCACTTACCCCATTCATCCAGACACATTTAAGGCTGTATTCACATCTGACGCATTTAGTCACCTTTAAACGGACCAGAGTTCGTTTCCCCCGTTGGTCCGGATCTTTTATGCAGGTGTAAACACACTCATGCAAACCTTGGTGCGGACCAAGTAACCAGACTGAGACCCATTTTTTGAGGTGATCTCTGTCTTCTTCCAAACAAACTCTAGTGCTGTTTTCTTCTGGTGTGAATACAGACTAGCCTCGACCCGAACCAACTACAAAAAGCATCCGCCTTTTTTGGACTTCACGAGCCGCCATGCTAATCAGTCTTCTGTAAGGGTAGTAAATTTACTGAAATCATACCTCATTTGCCATCTTCTTTTTAGCAATTCTACTGCCAACATGCTGTGGGTCATGGCACGCAGAGCATCTCCTCTTTTTTTGATTTGCGTCACACTGACACCGTCCCAAAATTAGAAGTATATCATTGTGAAATCGCTGTTGAATGCGATGCTCTTGAATTTCTAAAAGGGATTGCAGTTGTACCAATAGCACCTCAGAATTGCATCCTGCAGGACTTCCATCTTTCTTTCCAGGTGTGTGCTCTGTCCCGCCCCCGTCATTTCTGTCCATTGGGAGCCATGATCATCACCTGCATGTCTTTGTTGACAAATGGCAGTCCACCACTTGCAAAAAAAGCACAATGAAAATGCAAACCGCACCAAACGAAAAAAAAAAGTCTGGTTTTGATCTGGACCAAACAAGCAGACTAAGACTTTTTTCAGAACATGCCCCATACCATTACTGACACATGTTCTGACCACCTCTGTCCATTCAGAAGACACATGGAGTTTGAAACTTAAGCGCCTAAAAAGACGTACTTGAACAAACTTTGTTCTGTGTGACATAATAAGTGGCAAGAGAGCCATAACTCCTGCTGTTCTCAGCAGATTGAGTGAGTCAAACTGGTAGATCTCTACTTAAAAAACAGTCTCTGCTGTACTTCTGTTGACTTTTTGATAATGAAGGGAAAGTTGAAAGAAGAATGTCTTAGATCTGAATGAGCCTCTTGTTCGAGTCATATCATATTTTTGTCTTTTTCGACTTTTCCCACTCATCCGTTCATCCGTCTGATCTTAATTTGATATGTGTATTTTTATTATCCAAGTGTTTTATTTGTTTACCACTTATTCTCCATGCTGCGTCAGCGCTCTTGCCTTTACCCAGTGGAATATGCTCAGGTAAATGAAAATTCATGGACTAAACTTTCAGTGTCACCAGTGTTGACTCACCAGTTGTTTCTAGTCCTATAAACAGTTCTGTTGAAAAACTTTGCTATTTCAAAAATTTGACATAGAGTGAAATATTTGAAGCCTTTATTTCTTGTAGTTCTGATTATTATGGCCTACAAATTACAAAAAAAAAATCAGTGTCTCAGAAAACTAAAATATTACACAGCCAGCTTTTTGTTACTTTTTGAGTACCAAAAGGAGGATGAGTCATCCAAGCAGAAATTTGACCTGGTTGAGAACAAGCAGAATTCAGTGAGACTGAGCTGAAAAGTTGCAGATTTATCGCAATTATGAATTGCCAACCAGACTGCCAACAGCTGCAGCTCAGTGAAATACCGGATTCATTGTATTTTCTGAACTTAAATATTCTTTGATAATATCCAGCTCTGGACTTTTTATGGTTCTCTTTAAAGTTCTTCTCTTTTGGACCATTTGTTGACTATGGTTTTTTTTTCTCCGTTAAAGATTTTAAGTGATATTTTCTGCATAATGTCAGTTTTTGAATTATATGAACAATTATCTCTCTTAATATATATTTATTATGATGACTTTCAGTCTAAACCAGGACTTTGCAACCTTTATAATCAAAGAAGCCATTTCTGAATCTATAAACAGGTTCAGAGCAACAATATGAACCTGAACCTCCCAGATAAGAACACAACTCATTGTTACAGTGGGGAAAATAAGTATTTAGTCAGTCACCAATTGTGCAAGTTCTCCCACTTAAAAAAGATGAGGCCTGTAATTGACATCATAGGTAGACCTCAACWATGAGAGACAAAATGTGAAAAAAAATTTGAGAAAATCATTTTGTCTGACTTTTAAAGAATTTTTTTGCAAATAATGGAAAATAAGTATTTGGTCACCTCCAAACAAGCAAGATTTCTGGCTGTCACAGACCTGTAACTTCTTTTTTAAGAGGCTCCTCTTTCCCCCACTCATTACCTGTATTAATGGCACCTGTTTGAAGTCGTTAAC